CACAAACAACAATAATCCAACAAACCAATAAAGCCTCTCCTATTAGAAACAACAAAAGAGAGGAACATAACAACTCCCGTGGATGGTGTGGGAGAGCAGGCTCTCCCTCACATGCACTGCTGCTGACAGGCACGCAACCCTCTCTCAGCAAGCTCTCTAGGGATAGTGGTTTCCCAGACTCATCAAAATACAACACAAAAATGGGACTGACCACCTCGGTCCTCACCTACTCTCTCTCTCTCTCTCTCTCCCCAAATGCATCCACTCTCCCTCACTCTCACTTTGATTGCTCCTCTAGAAGCCAGCTGCTTCTTCAGCTGTTTCCAAGAGCCAGGACAGCAGGCTCACACATACAAGTGCAAGGTAGCAGTAGACCTCTCCTTGCTTTTAACCACATTCACAGCCAGGCAGCTGTCACTCACACATGAGGCACCAATTAAACACACAGGTGCACATGACACTTACCTGTGCATTCCGTGCTCTCCGTGCACTTGGCCCTTTACCTGTCCCTCAAGAGCATCAATATGGAGTCTCTTAAAATGCCTCGGACACTTCCTACCAAGATACTGCTCCAACTGAGCAGGTCCACAAAACTGTCACAACCCAAAGGGTGTGATTTTTGTTTTTGTGTGCTTCGGCACTGCTAAATTGTTCCCGCTAAATTACAGCTTCTTTGCACGGTGGAGTTTTCTGCTGCAAAAGAGAACCCCGGTGCAAGGGAGAATTTCCCACCAATTTGAAGCTTTCTTTGCAGGGTGCATTTCTTTGTTGCAGCACAGAAATGCTTGTTGCAAACAGTTCCCGCCATTTGTATGCTAATTCGAGTCCCATTATTGGCCAGTTCTAAATTATTCACACGTGGCGGCTAGTGATTGGCTTGCTAGCTGTATAAAAGGCTTGAGTGGTTTCCGCCCAAGTTGGAGGACTCCACGAACACCGGGAGGAGGAGACTTCACGCTGTGTGAAGATCTCTAAGCGCTGCGGATCCTTACGGACCCAACGCATTTGAAGCAGGCAACAGAGGTCTGATCAACCTCTAGCCTCTCCCCGTGGGGGTAAGCAGCTCCCCTCCCCTCACCGTAGAGCATGGAGCAGGTGCCAGGACTCCTCGCCCATCCCAAGCAAGGGACCACAAGCCAGAGAAAATGGTTTGGCGGGCCACACGGTGGCCCACGGGCCGTATGTTAGACAAGCCTGATCTAGTCCAACCCTACTCAAAGCAGGACCATCCCCAACTAGATCATTCCAGCCAGGGCTTTGTCAAGCTGGGTCTTAAGAACTTCCAAGGATGGAGAGTCCAAAACCTCTTTGGAGTAGCCTGTTCCAGTGCTTTACTACCCTCATGGTGAGAAAGTTTTTCCTAATATCCAACCTAAGCCTCCCCTGCTGCAACTTGAGACCATTGCTCCTTGTTCTGTCATCTACCATCACTGTGAACAGTCCAGCTCCATCCTCTTTGGAACCACCCATTAAGTAGTTAAAAACTACTAGCAAATCTCCCCTCATTCTTCTCTTTTGCAAACTAAATAAACCCAATTCCCTTAGCTTTGCCTCATAAGTCATGTGTCTCAGCCCCCAAATCATTTTCACTGCTCTCCACTGGACTCTCTCCAACTTGTCCACATCCTTTCTGTAGTGGGGGGGGGGGGACCAAAACTGGACACAGTACTCCAGTCATGTGGCCTCAAATAGAATAATCGCTTCCCTTGGTCTATTGGCAACACTCCTACCAATGTAGCCCAGTGTGCCACTAGCCTTCTTGGCAACAAGGGCATGCTGCTGCCTCATATTCAGCTTACTGTCCACTGAAACCCCCAGGTCCTTTTCTGCAGAGCTGCTGCCCAGCCAGTCGGTCTCCAGCCTATACTGGTGCGTGGGACTGTTCCGTCCTAAGTACAGGACTTTGCACTTGTCCTTGTTGAGCCTCATGAGATTTCTTTTGGCCTAATTGTCCAATTTGTCTAGGTCACTGAATCCTAGCTGTACCTTCCAGCATTTCTATTACACTTCCTAGCTTGGTGTCATCTGCAAACTTGCTTAGGGTGCAATCCATCCCATCTTCCAGTCACCGATGAAGATACTGAACAAAACCAGCCCCAGGACTGACCCGAGGCACTCCACTTGAGACCGGCTGCCAGGTAGACATCGAGCCATTGATTACTACCTTCTGAGGCCAAAAATCCAGCCAGTTTTCTATCCACCTTACAGTTGATTCATCTAACCCATACTTCCTTAGGTGGCTTGCAAGAATATTGTGGAAGACCACAACAAAAGCCTTGCTAAAGTCAAGGTATATCACATTCACTGCTCTTCCTGCATTCACAGAGCCAGTTATCTCACCATAGAAGGCAATCAGGTTGGTCAGGCATGACTTGTCTCTGGTGAATCCATGCTGACTGTTCCGAATCACCTTATCCTCCCAGTCCTTAGAAATGGATTTCTTTGAGGAGCTGCTCCATGATTTTTCCAGGGAATGAGGTGAGGCTGACTAGTCTGTAGTTCCCTGGATTTTCCTTCTTCCCTTTCTTAAAGATGGACACTATTTTTGCCCTTTCCCAATTATCTAGGACCTCTTCCAATTGCCACAAGTTTTCAAAAATAAGGTCCAGGGGCTCTGCTATCATACAAGCCAACTCCATCAGCACCCCTACATGCATTGCGTCTGGCCCCATGGACTTGTACACATCCAACTTTTCTAAATAGTCCCTAACCTGTTCTTTCACCACTGTTGGCTGCTCACCTCCTCCCTAGATGATATGAAGTCATGAACATCAATGTAGACAGCTGGGAGGAGAACACAGAGTCCCAACCAATCTGGAGGGAACATCTGACACTGGGTTCAGCTCAACATGAAGCGGCCTTGTCAGAGAGGATGCAAGCAGAGAGAGAAAGAAGAAAGCAGCATGCTATAAATTTGGACTCCAAATTAGACAATTTATGAAACAGACTCATAACAAGCTGTGTCACTCTTGAACTGGGCTTGTCAGACACAAATGAATTAATTGGGCATCTGACTAGACTTTTAACATGTACACCATTATCCAGAGGATCAACAGTTGCCTACTACTACATTCCAATGGCTCCTTGTTCCTTGTCATGAAAAGGACACATATGGTAGCATCCGTTTCTGGTAAATCTCCTCTTATTTGTTGCTTGTCTACACTCAAAAATCCCAGCATTTTCTGGCTCTCTTTAACTATGTTTTTTCAGGTCTCTATGCACTTTTCCTGCTTTTCTCTGAGCCCCTTTATTCATTTTTACTATCTTTTTTGTGAGGTAGGGTGGCTAGAACTGAACATGAAACCCAGTACGTGGGCATTACAAGGGCCATGTTAATTTCTAACCCATTCTTCATGTAGCTTAACATTTTGCTTGTTTTATTTATTTATTTTTGGCAAGACTGCAAATGGAGCATGGTACTTGCACGCTGAAAGTTAAGCACGTGCTTAAGTGCATGGTGAAGTTAGGGCCAACTCGCTAAACATCTTACAGAAATGAGTCCCTAAAGTCCTTCCTGTCACAGTTGTTCATACTGTTTCAAAGCACTAAGCAATGGCCCTATGAGGAACACAGACAAGCTTGGATGCCTTTATTCTCAGCTCTGAGGCCTTGATACTAGTGCATATGTTATAAATGCTTTCAGCACATGAATATCACACATAACCCTCCCCACTCTGAGATTCTGCTTGGTTAAGGTTTGCTGTGTTTAGCTATAGGTTACCCAGCGCTCCAAATGGCCACTAAACATTTCCCAGTTCTCTCTCTGCACTTGCCTGCATCGTCAGCAGCCAGAAGTATTGCTACATCTGGGAAAGTGAGCACGGTGAGTGGGAGAAGAGTAGTACAGCTGCTCACCAGAAATTTTGTGAAATTGCAAAGGTCACATACGGCCCTTTGCAAACTGACTGAAGAGCTTTTACTGAAAACTGTATCAATGGTGAAACCTGAGGGTGCTGCTTTACTTATCCCTTGAGAGTCATGGATCTCTAGCTGGAAGCCCCAAATTGAGAGTTACTACTTATATTGCAAACAAGTGAATCTGCAACCTGATTTTTAACTACTGAAACTTGGCCTTTCATAATGGAAGCCGGTAATCAGTAATCCCAACAGAGATAGTACACATGGAGTCCACTTGCCAGAACAGTTGCACTCAAACGGTCTGATAATGCCTATTGCCAGGGGATTTTGAGAACATGTAGAAATGAACCCCATTCCTCTCTCCCTCCTGTCTCGATATGGCGTTTCCTCCATTTTGTTTCACTACTAGCCCCCATTTGTCCATGCGACTTTCCTCTTTCCTGTTCCTCGTAGATCTATACCCTCCACTACCCCCTGCAAGCCACTCTTCTCATCTCTGCCATTTTGAATATGGGCTGGGCACGTTTTGCAGGGCCCCTGACAGACTATGCATGTTTTTCAAAAAACAATGGCTAACTATACTTGCTTAAGCTAAGCACATGGCATAGGCTCCACTCCAGAAAATGCACTTCTATGTAAAAAACAGAAATAATACATATTATCTGTAACTCTGCATGTATGGATTTCATATCTGCCTCCTTCTGTGTTCTTTGGACAATATATTTAAGTATACGCTTAATATATATGTATACTCTTGGAGATATGAAACTTCTGCATGCATCTGGAAGTAAAAGAGCTAAAAATTCTCTATAAAGGGAATAATTAAAATACTTTAAATTAATATATTATCTTTTAAATTTCTTGTATGGTTTACACCAAAAACTTTCCTGACAACTTCTGTCCTAAAATAACTTACGGCATGTAAAAATTCAGATAGGTTGGCTTTAAATAAAGCAAAGGGATTAAAAAAAAAAACCAACCCAAAAAAACCAACAACTCAAAACAGGCATATAGAGCACATTAGCTTCAATCTCAAGTGTAGTTATCTTAACATCACTCTGTAACTCAAGGACCAAACTTGAACCACCAGTCTCTACTATGATTATATTCAGTAACGAATTATTAAATGTATGTACACTTACTCTACGAAATGACACCACATAGAATGTATCTTCCCTTCTGTCAATAGCTTCAAGAAAATCTTGGTAACTCCTTGGAGAGGCATAGTATACCTGCAGCTCGTTCCCCGAGTTCCGACTGAAATATAGAGAGAAAGAAATAGATTTGGAGATGAGAAAGAATATAATCTTAGTGAGATACAAACTTAGTGAGATACAAACAAGGAAGCTCACCATTCAGCAACACACATTTTGTTCTTGGTGGGTGTAAGGGCATTCCAAACAGCGATGCACAGTGAAAACTGCTGAATAACAAACTCATTTGACAACCTAGCTGTAAAAAAGTTTGCTTGAAAACGCAGGGAAAAATAAGAGAGGCAGAAGCAGAACCAACATTAGGACACTACGTACTAATATACTTGTGTAAAAAAAAAAATGCAGCTTCAGATCAAACTGACAGAATCACATAGTTTGTGTGTGTGGGGAAAATAGTTTCAGTAGGAAAACATTCCAAAAAAGTTCAAATGGAATATTTAAATTTCCATTTCAAAATTGTATTTTGTTTAAGTTTTTCCATCAAATATCAATTTTTAAAAAGAATTAAAAAAAAGTGAGAAAGAAACATTTCACCTTGACTAAAACAAAATATTTAGATCTAATTGAAACAGATTTCTTCCAGTTTTTGATTTCCAGGGGGGAAAGAAATCCAAAAGCAGAAGGGAAATGTTCACGTCCAATTTTTCAATTTAGCCAGTGAACTGAAAAAAAAAAAATCAATTAAACACCTCTACTTAATAGTCTTTTATAATTCTAGATTTAGAAATGAATAGGGGATAAGAGTTCTTCAGTCTACTTAAGATAGTGTAAGCAAAAACACTGGGCAGTCTGAACATAAGCATTGTCATTGGACTTGCAAGTAATTTCCACCTTAGTGGTGTACCATCTGTGGTGCCACAACAAAATACTATGACTATTACAAAGCAGGGTTATATTCAAATACCCAAGAAACATTGGGTGAAACTATAAAATGCAGTTTTGTAAAGTCTTTCTTTTCTCAAGGGCAAAGAGAGACCATGGAAGGTTTTATCCCCAAATGTCTGCCTATAGCTGATTATTACCATTGAGATTACATTTCTGATTTGGGGGGGAATGGCATAGAAAGGGCTACTACTTTCCAAGTCGCAGTGGGGAAATATTTAATCCTACCCTTCCCCATCCCCTTCACATATTCCACCATGCATTCTGACCTGACTTGTTCCTCTTTGCTCTTGGCCTGCTAAAATTGGAACTCAGAGCAACACTATACTATGTCTCCTCCCTCCAACTTTTCCTGTTCCTTAGGAGGGGATACTGAAAGTTCACACTCCTCCAATGCCGAGTATGTAGGGGAAATTAGGACGAGATGAAGACAAACCAGGAAACAGAAGACAAAGCTATTTTGTCTCCATCTTTAATTTTTGTGGTCCTACTTAAATGCCAGGCTTCTCTTTTGGGAAGTCTTTGGATGGTCTAAAGAAGAAGCAGCCTTTCTTTTATTGCAGTTGCTGTATTTAGGAACTGTCTTGTAAGAGCCCAGCTTGTCCTGCTTAGGAAATGGATACATGAATGGCCTTCATCCCCAAGACTGCCCCTATGTTTTCCCCCAAGGCTTTACACTTAGGAGCAGGCTAAGCAAGAGGAGGGTTCTGAAGAATCACTGGTAAAAAAAGCCTGAGGAAGAGGACAAAGTAAAACTGTAGTATGGAAGCACCCTTAAATTTATTTGCCCTTGAAAAAGAAGTGGTGATTGTTCAAATACATAAAATTCATAAACATCTCTTGTAGGATAATAATTAGGCCTGTAAATGTAAAGAGAGCCTGAGGCAAGATCAGAGAGCAGGATGGGGGTATTCAGAGGTAGGTGATTTCAGGTAACAAAGCCTAAGATAGTAACAAAACAGAGTATCTAGTCCTAACCAGAGTAGGTAAAGAGACCTTGTCTGCCTTACCTGACACTTGTATCTGTGTATGGCACGGCCATCAGCTGTGAATCTGCATTCTCCCCAGGGGAGCTCTGAAAATGGGACAAATAACATGTGTCACACAAAGGCAAAGTAGCAAGCATTCTCCCCGGCATCCACACTGCACTGAGAACAAACACAAGTGTCCAGCAGAGCATGAGAACAGATTGGCCTGCGGCACAAATCTAAGGGCACTTGTACACGTGGTTTGGGACGTGGCACTGGGCACTTTAATTAGTGAGCCGCACTAATTAAAAGCATGCATGCACGACACTGCATGGAAGTTGACATCTGTCAACATTTAATAGTAAATGAAGTTAAACTAAATTGATTTAGTTACAGCAAAGACAACCCAGAATTATATTACCTTCAGATTGTAAAAAGAAGAGGTTCTCTGAGAGACCAGAGATGGAAATCAATCCTAGAGAAACTTTTTTTTGTTGAGGGCTTCCGACTGACTGTTCTGGAAGATCTTCATACAACCCCAAACTCGTACAGAAACGCACTCAAGCAGTGTGTCAGCACCACAGCTGATACACTGCCCAGGAGCTCTGGAATCACTGCTGTCAGAGATGAAGGAAGCCTACTGGGTCATATCCATGTTGCTCTGCCAATGTTTCCTGCACCACATTTCCAGTGTCTGTCAAGTTTAGTTTGAAGTGTTCCAGCCTGGGGAGTGGGGGAAGGTTCTACCACTTCCCATGGAGGACCAGTAAGAGGAAACTGAGGTTTAATACTTAATAAAGATTTCCCAAGGAGTGCATCTCGTTGCCCAGGTTTCTTCATTTCAATCTCTCAAGTGCTGCATTAAGATCTCTTTATTAAGAGAGACATTTGGAAAGCCCACAGATACTTAACTTCACTGTCAGTGTGCCACGTAACTGAAAGTGGCTTTAAGAATGAACCGCAAATACAAATCCCATTAATTCTGAATCCACACTATCGCCAACAATTTATTCATTTGGCAATGTCTGAAAGTATGAACACTGGAATCCCTGAACAAAAACACTTCAGCTGTGGCCCATAACAGTAAGCACAACAGGTTTGCTCAAATGACTGCATATTTTTGACAAAAGATGATAGCAATTAAAAACAATCACAACCTACATTTTTTGTTGTAGTTTTATTGACAGGAATATGATTTTTATTGTTTTTGACACATTTCTTAATGGAAAATTTGTGCTTTTTCTGTGTATTACTCGGACCTATTGGTAATTTTTTACAATTTTGATCAATATTTGATTGGTCAATTGATTGAACTTTATTTGACAGGTCATATACCCAACCCTAGTTTGCTGTTGTTCATATTTAATCACTACAACCATGTGTACTTGTGTTCAGAGTCTTAAGGAGAGTCTATACAGCTTATAAAGAGAGAACATTGAGTCCTACTGGACTTTTCTGAAGTGCGAGGAGAGAAAATTCCACTTAACAGATATCAACAGCTTCTAGTCAGTTAAAAAACATTCTACCATTATCTTTTGTCCATTCAACCTATTTTATTACATAAGCTGAAAAATCTATTACATGAGCTACATCACCAGCTGCTTTCAGTAAGGATTTCCCAAACATTTTCCTAGTTTAATACAGAGCATCTTCTGAACTATTCCCATTCCATTTATAACATCCCTGCAACAATGGCAGGCAGCAGGTGTTTTCATAAAGAAAGGGGGTTTGCCTTAATTTAGCAACTGGAAATTTAGAAGGAGAAGCCTGCACTATAGGATTCAACAAGTTTTTGTGGACAACATTTTTGGAAACTTTTTGCTTAGATAACTATATAAAGATTCACAATTCACTAGCTTCAGTGTTGGTTGCCTTCAAAGTATGTACTGTCTAGAAAAGCTATGTGGACAAAAATAAAGGTTGCAAAGTCAAATCTCAACAGTTAAGAAACGTCAGCATTAAGGTTGCCTATGTGGTCATAATTTGGCCAGTGTACATCCTTATCTTCCTTGAATTTCTTTCTAACCTCTGCCACGTTTTACTATCTTGTGCACTTGATGAAGGCAGGGAAATTATAGAATAAAAGGCTAAGTAAGCCTATAACTGGATTGCATAACGCACATGCACAGAGAGGCAGAAATAAGGTTGCGTGGGCAACATTAATTTTGGCTCGACCATCAATTCCTGATTGCCAGTGTTGCAAACATAATGCTCTTTTAATACAGGAAACCCTCAGCATTTGCGGTTTCAAATATTTGCAAATGCTGAACCTGCGTTTTGAATACACTTTAAACACGCCTCGGGAGCTCTGCACTGGTTGCCACTGCGCTCCCATCGCTGGAGCTGTGTCCCCCCTCCCCCTCGGGGGCACTGCGTTCATGAACGCAGTGCCTTATTCGCAGACTTCACCATTCGCGGGGTATGTGAGAATGTATCCCCCGTGAATGGGGAGGGTCACCTGTACACTAAGCTATCACATCACATGCTCCTAAATAAGACGTACACCTTTTTTAAATTCATTCTGCCTTCCCCACAAAAAGATTTTTCCATAAACATGGTCACAGGAAACAGGGACAGAGGCTAATTTTCAGCTCACTCACCCTCCCTTTTCTGCTCAGGCAAAGTTTTAAAGCCTCAGCTGCTCAGCCAAAAGCTGTTACCCATTCTGCGGTGGTTGTAAAGAGTTAAAACTATAGCTGTTGCTGAAGACTGAATTCTGCCCCTCCCTCAATTTAGCCAGCTGGAGGGGGAAGAGAAAGAAATAATGCAGGAGCCATTTCACAACATCTCTATGCTCCTATTAGGGGCAGAAAATCTGTTTAAGACCTCAATTCTGCAGGGCTATTTTTGGGAAAAAGATGCACATGGTAGATGAGTAAATACAGCGCCTTCTCTGGCTTTTTAAATGCAAGCTGTACACTAGAACCACACTGATTTCTTCATGAATCATCAAGATGGATCTGAACTAGGAAGTTGAGATCCACAGCCTAAATCTCTATTTGAAATAAAGGAATAATTGACAAGCAGAATAGGTTACTATCATCTGTGTACACCAGCCAGCAGAGGGGGACAATATATAATGGCTTGCACAGCAGGGGAATACTAGATCTCTATCAAAATTCCTACCTTCTATTCCTGGCTCTGAAAAGAAATGTGATGCAGAGGCTACAGATATTACAAACAGTGTAAACCAGAAACTGCTAGTCTCTACTTGAAGGTCCTTCATGGCCTACCCTTCTTTCCTGTCATCTCTTATTTAGTCTCTAAAGATTGATTTCTGCCCTAAAACCCGCCATGGTGCCAGTTTCCATCACCTAATTACTAGGCTTTCAAACAAGTATCTTTTGTGTTTTCTTCTATGCTGCCTCTCAGAGAGGAGCTCCCTGTAAGCATCTACAAAGCCACCTCACTATCTTCCTTCAAAAGCCTCTGTAAACCTCTCCTTTTTTTTTTTTTTTAAATAACTACTAAAATCTTGCCAGTTGAACCCCTGATGCATTGAGGCCACTACCTACCATGCTGACCAATACTGTTTTCTAGTACTGGCTCCTCTGTCTGTCTCCATCTGTTCTCTTGTCTTATATTGAGATTGTAAACACGTTGGGGCAAGGATCATTTTTTTGTTCTGTGTTTGTACAGCATCCAGTATAGCCCTCATCCTTGACTAGGATGCCTAGGTTTTAGAGGTGCAGCCAAACCTTTCAGAGATGGGCAGAGATGGGAATTGTGCTGACCAGCCGAGACCAAGCAAGACAGAAGACAGGAGGGGTAGAGGAGTCTTGCCTGTCTGGATCTCCTCACTCCAGTGGTGCTCCGGCCATTATTGTAGCAGTCCAGGCTTGGGCAGTTTCTGCTGGGGGAGAGGCAGCGGTACGTGCTCCCCAAGGCCTGCTCCTAGTGCTCTGTTCACTCCCCCCAGGCACAGGGCTGTGCCTCCTGTGGCAAAGTCTCTGGCGGGATGGTGGAGAGAAGAGGGGGCAGCACCCCATCTCCCTCCCAGCCAGATACACTATTGATCGTGGTGCCGTGCCTGCCTGGCTTCTACACATGGATAGCACGGGGCTGTCCTGCTGTAGTAGACTCCTGGGGTTTTGGGGCCATACTGGTGCCCTAAGTTGGCACCCAGGGCTGGCATCCCACTCTCCCCTTCTAGTTATTCTACTGCTACATTACAACCCACCACACACAAGCACACTGATTTGCCACAATCGCCCTCTGGATAAGGCTAACACCTGCCATTAGAAAGAGGCTTTTCCTCCCAGCTCTACCAGAAGTGACTCTGGACAACTTCCTGTTGAGAATAATATGGTACTTGTCCACCTCCTTAGGGGTGGTGTGGGGCCTTGCTCACTAATAAGAGCTGGAAAGGGCACAGAATTAACACTGTCCCTCTGTGGGAGGTCTCTTCACGGCTTCTGTCTTAAGCACAGCTTCCTGCAATAAATGGTGGATGAGTCCCTCTGAAGTTCTAGTTCTGTGCCAACCTTTGTAAGAAGCAGACTGAGGCATTAGCCTGCATTCATGATGTTTCTTAAGAAAGGGGTTGGGAACATGGTCCTTGCAGCTAGAATCTTTTGAGATTTTAGCAACAAACCTCTAAAAAGCTTTACTGAGCATGGGATAATAGAGATTTCAGATTTTGACTAGAGATTATAACTATGCCAAGTCTAGAAGGATTTCCTCAAAGTCAGACAAAAGCACTCCCCTTACCCTAAGACCTTTGCTGTACCACATTTTTAAAGTTCCTAATCAAAAATATGCAAGTGCTAAAATTCTTCAAATAAATGTCTGAAATAACAACAACACCCCCATACTGGCAAAACATCGTTTTTTTAAGCTCATTTTTAGAAATACTGTACCTGGACCAATTTTGATGAGAAAAAAAAATTCTGCCTGAAACAGAATGAGCATGGAAAATTTCAGCCTGACTTCTCAAAGGTCTGGCAAAATCACCAGCATTTGAAAATAGCTGCTTATAATGGAACGTGTTGGGCAACCTTAACTACAGGCATTACTGCCAGTTCTGCCTCTAATAACAAGTACAGAAAAGTAAATGAGATAACTGTAGATAAAGGTAACCATATGTATTATGTTAAGTAAAAAAAGATTTACTGTCTTACCACTGCTCTTTGGCTCTTTCTTTTAAATTTATTTTTGGTGATTTTATTATTCACAAAAACACTCAACTAATATATAAGCACGAATGGAAGTTTCCTTCACAGCTCTTGTAATACTCTTTGTCCTTTTCGCCTAAGCCCTCTACTATTCAGTTTTGGCTGAACAGGTGTCGCAGGTCTGCGGCTATTAATCCTGCCACCGCTCACTTTGCCACCAAATTTCATACCCATGGGGAACCCCACAGGTGAGATGACACACATCTGTAGGCTGTATTTTTGACAGCTAGTTTAGACAGAGATGATCCTGTCATGAGTAGGGGGGCTGACAAGATAACTTTCTGAGGTTCCTTTCAGCCCAGTTTCCATGAGAGTTGATCACGGTTCCAGAAATTAAACTTGTCCTGTTATTGAATCAACAGTGGTAAGCAACCTACCTGGACAACCTGTGTTTTTTGCTGCTGGTTTTTTGACAGTCGTCTAGAACGTGTCCTTTCCACTTCATGTCTATGAACCCATCCTCGAAGTTCATGATTTAACCTGTAGAATGAAGTATTAATTTAACCATATCTTTAAAAAACAGCAACAGAACATCTTAGGTTTCAGCCAACATTTAAAACATTTATTTGAAAGATCTTTTGAATTACTGTTTTGTTTCATGGGTTTTAAACTTTTTGTCATGTTAGTTTCAACATTGAGGCATGAGTTTTAGTCACAAGATCAAAGTTAAAAGAGAATCGACAGCTAAATATCTACAAAGAGTAGATACCGGACTGATTGATCTTTTTCCATTTAAACTGGGTCCCATACATTCTTTTGCTTAAATAATAATCTTAAAATTACTAGGGAAATAGAAACCTGAAATCGCAAGTCTATTAGTTAAAAGGATAAACTTGGGTGAAAGTTTAAAGAGGAAAGGGAACGAACAAAAGGAAAAAAAGATGAATCCATGTTTTCAGAAGCCATACATTTTCATTTTTTCTAGCTAGGCATAAGGGATAATAGCAAGTTAAAATAGGTCTTTGCATTATGAAGCTGAATGGGAGAGGCGATAGCCTGAATATTTCAGATACAATAGGTCTTTAAACATCCTTTATAAGCACTGTTGGAAGTGAAGAAATATTTGCTTTGACCCATGAAAAAAAGCGATGGCCATCTCCACGCAGGCAGATGTACGGTAAACTGAATAGTTCAGAGAACTGTTATCTGGCTTCAAATTGATTCAGGCTGGATAATAAACAAAAGCGTCATCATTTGATAGCATCAGAATGGATAGGCAAGGGGCACCAGAGAAATGAAGAACCTCCGATAAGGATTTTGTTATGGCTTGGGGAAAGATAGGGAAGCGTTTTTCTTATACCACCAAAAGATAAAAGAAGAAACAAGCGACTAAGTTCTCCAGTATGCAGAAAAACCCAGAGACCCCTGGGCAATCAGAAACAATTTTTCATTCAGATAAAGGTTTCCTTTTCAATGGCCTCCTTCTCTCTCCTCTATTAATTCACTCTACATAAATGCTTTCCCCCAGTTTCTCCCTCTCCTTTCATAGGCAACATTCCCTTACATGGCCCCTTGGAACAGACCCCTTGGTATGGGTGACCTCGCTCCCTGTTATTTGCCTTTC